CAGAACTCGGCAGTAATCACACCGGGACATTGGAGATCCGGCCTTACTGGTGATTTTGCCCAGCAGCAGTGTACCTGACTTTACAGCTTTAATCCTCTTTTAATGCTGTCCCTGGTTGTGGGACAAGTAAGGGCATTCCTCTGGAAGTCACCGCTCAGCCCTTTCCAGCACAGTGTCATTGGAGTGTACAGAAGTAAGCCCCAACTCTGAAAGCAGCATTGGTACTGAAGCTGTCACTGCAGAGATTTAAAATATATCACATGGTATGGCGTGCAACTTCCCAGCCAATTTAAAAAAATGTGCAGTTAGCCCAAATTTCTCCAGGCATTGTCTGGATCTTCCAATGTCATCCACGTTAATGAAAACCACCACAGATGTTTAACAGAAAGGAAGCTCATCTTCGATTTCAGAGGTAGGAAAATCTCAAATATGTTGCCGAGTTTCAGCATCCATGCAGGGACAGGAATGACTCTCACACATTGATACAATGCACAGCCGATTCACTTTATTGCTCCACTTACGTGGTTACATACATTTTTCATATCTGTACACGCGATCATGCTTATTTGGATAGGCTACAGACATAAATCACGCGCTGTTCACGCACCCCACATTCCCTTATGATTGGTAACTATGCACTAACGCCAATAGCAACAGACCGCCTCCACGTCCTTGAACACATCTTGTTTTTGCTAACCCACATCATGTGCACTCTCAGAACTTTCTCAATTGCTATTCTTAGCTGCCCTTTCCAGCGGCCTGTTCATTTATGCGAACTGTTTTGCTTAACCGGCCTAGTCATGCTAACTCTGAAGCTATATCGGCCCCAACAATATGTCAGAAATGCCCCCCCTAGCCTACATCCCTGTGGCTGGGAGCTGCGGCACGTAACACTGTGCTCTTGCCTCCTGTTAGAAACCTGGACTCTCGGAGTTCTGAACTGCTTGGGTAGTTTGGTCATGAATTTCGGCAATTCTTCTGAATTCGCTTGCTTTACTGGGATAAAAGGGAAACTACTTGGAAACTGTGTAAACTCAATAAACCCTCCCGTGATGGTGGCAGGGTTTGGTTTTTGGATGCCTCGGGTCAGGTCTTTAGCATAAGAGGCTGCAGGGCTTTGGATTTTGTGCAGATGCAGAGAACGGACAGCGGTTAGTATTAGCTGATTAAAATTTGTATGAGATTTTCTTCTTAAGCTCTAGTTTTTGAAATGTTCAGGGGCTTTCCCATACTAACTTGTTTTCCCAGCATAACAGAACAAATGCAGCTGTATTTTTAAGATAACTTGGAGTGGCACAACTGTTTTGTATTCAGGAGGTTTTAAAAATAGCATGACTCAATATTAATTCAAGACTTTAAAAAATTTTATTTTGTCAGGACAAATGCTGCTGACGTTCCAGGCCAAATAGCATACTAAGATAAAATATTTATAGTGGAGGATATATTTTTAAAAATTGTGGCTATTATTTTGTGACTTTACCTTCAGTAATATTAATTGATAGTATTCCTTTAGGGTTTTTTCCCTAACAAACTAGAATACCATCCAAGATAGTTCTGAACTTGATAATCATAGTTGCTTGGAGGGAGTAGAAGTGGAGAGAAAAGAGTAGTAAACTAAAAGATTAGTCAGTATCGGAAGCTTTATGATCGTGTGCTCAAAGAATTAAGCGGATTTGGAAATGGACAAGGACAGGAAATTGTGTCAGGCAGAAATGGATCTAACTCATCGCCTTGTACCTGTGCGCTCTGTCCCCTTCTCAGTTGAACTCAGTACAGCCAGTGTTTGTTTTCCAACTCGTAGTATTCTTTATGAGATACAACGTACAATTGCTTATACAAGTAAAAGGCATTTTAATACTTCATTTGTTCTGTCCTCCTGCTAAGTGATTGTTAGGTTTGGGTGTATATATGTCATACTCAGGATTCCAATGGAAATGTACAGGGGCTTCCAGGAGCAGTACTTTCAAAGGACTTAGCACTAGCGCCGTTTTGGGTATCCCTGGAAAATATTTGTATTCTTAATTAATTTTCAGGTTACACGGGTAGTATTGTTGTGGGTGAACAATCACTTCAATGATTTTGAAGGCGATCCTGCTATGACTCGATTTCTGGAAGAATTTGAGAACAATTTGGAGAGGGAGGTAAGAGTGAGGGTGTTTTTTTGACTGTTTGGGATGGCAGGGAGTAGCCAGGCTGTTGTTATATGTAGCTCACTATGCTTTTCTTTTGTAGAAAATGGGTGGTCATTTGAGGCTGTTAAATATTGCTTGTGCTGCTAAAGCTAAACGAAGATTGATAACCTTAACAAAGCCATCTCGAGAAGCCCCTTTGCCTTTTATCTTGCTGGGAGGGTCAGAAAAAGGATTTGGAATCTTTGTTGACAGTGTAGATTTTGGTAGCAAAGCTACAGAAGCAGGCTTGAAGCGTGGAGACCAGGTATGTCATTTTAAATATTTTTTTTTTCCCTTTTTTGTTTCTGTTCTCTTCGCTAAATAAAAATAACACTACCTGTCTGCATTTTTTTAGATACTGGAAGTGAATGGTCAAAACTTTGAAAACATTCAGCTGTCAAAAGCCATGGAAATCCTTAGAAATAACACTCATCTGTCTATCACTGTGAAAACGAATTTATTTGGTAAGTTTGTGTGCACTTTTTGCTCTAATTTCTGTTCTAATTTAAATGAAGTATTTTTAATGGTTTAGAAGAGTTTTGTTTGAAACACTTTTGCACTGGGGAGAATAGAAAAAGGAGGCTTGCAGGCCCTAAAATACCTTAGTCTGTAATTGCAGAGAAAAACTTATGAACAGGGTCTTCTATAAAATGGCTTCAATCTCACAAGTGCGTGTTTCTGGATTAGGAGGAACTATTGCGACCATTTAGCTTGAACTTCTAAGACGTGTTTGTATGTGTGACGTGTAGCCCTTTCTCAGGAAAGAAGCTTCTTTTGGAATTTCAGCAGATCAGTATTCTTAATCTGTCTGCTGAATTTGCTCATAGTTTTTCAGCCCATGCCTACAAGGAGGGCAACAAGGTTAATAAAAACTTTCTTGCCAGCTAGGTGGAAACAGTCTCGCTACCCTCTGAATCTATCCTCTCCCTTTCTCTTTCTAACAAGTACTGAAGAAGTCACGAAGGAGTCTTTAAGCAGCTCAGGACCTCAGTTTGCATCATAAGTAATTAACAGTTTGTGGGTTTTGTTTTTTACCACTGGACACTTGGATTATTTATATAATTTAGAGGTATGTTCTCCAAGTATCTCTGAGGATGAGGTTCTTCATCGCAAATAAGTAGGGCAGAACATTACCACAGGATGTCACTGCATTAACTGATGATTAAATATGCTTACACTATCTTCAAAAGACATCTGTTAAATCTCTTTCCTGGGGATTTTTTTTGCTTTGCAGCAAAGATTCTAATATTTCAATTATTTCTAGTAATTAAGACATTTCTTAATATATCTCTGTATGTGCTTGTTTAACAGTATGTGCTTGTATCTCTGTGTGTAAGTTCTGTGCGGCCATCCTTCACACACTTGGTTTTTGGATCTCACGTCTTGTCTTCAGAAGTTGTGTTTTTCTAAGTTTTTAATCTTCTTGCTCCTCTCCAAATACTGAAATCACATCACAGTAGAGTCTCAGAACAGTTCCTTTCTGTGTATTGCAGGCAGTATTCCTTATCAACAAATCCCAAAAGGAGAGTTTCCTTTTTTTTTAAACGGCATCTTCTTATCTGCGTCTAATTTATCTCTCCAGCTCCTACACAACACTACAGTTATTGGCTTCGATTACTCTCCTCCACTTTTCTTTGTGTGTCATCTGAAGTCTCCTGGTGACCTGTTGTGTACCTCTGGAGATAAGGATGAATATTAAGGACAAATTAATACATAATAGTAAAACCTACCCCCTAATACTCACCCTTAGCTGCCTGCCCTTGTTCCTGCTTTTTCTACAACTCCTTGGTTTTAATTATCAGTTTTCATTTATTATTACAAATCAACTAATCAGGTGGGTTTTTTGTTTTTCCATTTATATATGGAGACTTCATCTCACACTCAGAACATGTGACTTGATCTCCACATCAGTTTTGTTTGATTTATTTAAATATATCAACATTTTTGTGAAGCTAAAAGTTGCAGGAACTAATTCACAAATTCATCAGGTTTCTGCCACAGAGATGACTCTTTGGTAGGGAGCTGGGGGAGTCTGAGAGGGGTTTTTTGTGTATCTGGCAGAAGGACGCAACAGCCCTGCCAAACATTCAAGCTGCCTCCGTAGTCTCGTACTTTCTTGTATCTTCCTTATGACCTTTTTGCAGTTTCTCCTCTGATTTCCTGATCCTGTTGCTAATAATTTCATGTCCATCTGAGAGCTTTTGTTGCTGGCTATCGCTTCAAAACCCTCCTTCTTAGTGGTTAGTTTTCCCATCTCATTTTTGTCAAGGGTTCTCTTCTTATGCGTGCTACTCTTCTGTGGGAGCCTGTGTCCTTAGGTTGAAAAGTCAAAGTCCTTCTGCTGACGCCGTTCGTGCAACCATGTGGTCATCTGGTGTATTGCTGTTCTGAGCTGCGCCAATTTACTGATTTTCTGGTTCATAATACAGAAAACGAATGTCCTTTTTAAAATATGAAATATTTTTAAAGTCTTATTTAAAAATTAATTTAATACTTCAATGGACAGAATATCCTTATCAGGTTTTTGTAATGATTAATATTGAACTGGTCTGGTGCACAGAGCTTTCTTTTACATTTTTGTTCTTTGTCTTTCCTTCATTTTTCTCTCTTGTGCAGTTTTTAAAGAACTCTTAACGCGATTGTCAGAGGAAAAAAGAAATGGTGCTCCTCACCTACCTAAAATTGGTGATATTAAAAAAGCGAGTCGTTATTCCATCCCAGACCTTGCTGTTGACGTGGAGCAGGTAATAGGATTAGAAAAAGTAAATAAGAAAAGTAAAGCCAACACAGTTGGGGGAAGAAATAAATTAAAGAAGATCCTTGACAAGACTCGAATCAGTATTCTGCCTCAGAAACCATACAAGTGAGTTTTTTTATTTCCTCTTCATTATTTGCTTTGTGTTAAATTTTAGTAATTTCTCATGATACTTACAATTTGTCATGATACTCTTTTAATTTATTAATGCAAACCAAGCTTATATCTGAAAAAAAATACTAGAAAAATACTTGTTGGAGTATCTGAATGATCATAGACTACTAACAGTGCAGCCCCTGAGGTCAATATGGATGTATTTTGCTTCTTACCAAGTAAAGATAAGTGATGGCACAAATACTTTTTCATGTTATTTACTGTTTTAAGAGGACTGTTAACTGGAAGCATCCCAGGAGATTAATTTCACAATAACTCTGCAAGCACGTTTTCCTGTAAATGGTTGATAGGAGCAATGATTTCAACTTATCCACGTTCCGGTGTCTGTAAGAATTTCTGTGTACTGCCATAAGGGAGACTGAGGTTAAAAATTTAACTGGGGTTCTTTGATAGAATTGAGTATTTTCTTAATGAAAGATAAATATGGTACCTGTTATCCTTTAAGGATAAGGATTGTTGGAAACAATAGAAGAATGAGTTTTATATGATTTTATGGGAATGTGATTCTGGGCCAAGACAGATGGCATCAAGGGGAAAATGAAATATAGAGGGCAGTTGATGTGTAATCAGTGTTTTCTCTTGCATTTTTCTTTTCTGTGTCCTACTGAGGAAGAAATCTAGTCTGTGTAAATTCATGAAAAAGACATTTGTGCTGAAAAACTAGGATTTTTCTCCTGCTATTACTTAAAAAAAAAAAAGTTTGCTTAACTGATGTTGGGTATTCCCTACTAAATGAATACTGTTCTGAAACGTTATAAATAGAATCTTAGTAATGTAAAGGTTAAATGACTATAAATCATTATATGTAAATACTGGATATTTCTTAAATTGATGCAGATACATTCCAGTAGAGGAGAATCTGTAAATCCTCTTTTTATGTTATTTGTCTTTAGAATGTTTTCTTTCATTTCACTGGTCTTACATGTTTGTTCCTCTGAGCCATGCATACTGTTAGGTGTGATTTTATTTTTTTTTTTTTTTTTTTGCATTGTTCACCATTGTTCACAGCTTTTCCATAAAATTTTCTTGTTGGTTTTCTTTTTTCTTTGATTCCTTTCATTTTTGCACTTTTTCTGTGCAGGGACTTCTTTGGGTAAGACTCAAAAAAACAGTAGACTTGACCTATTTTCTCTTCCTTTTGCTAGCTTTACTTCATGTGTTATATATAGCAATTTGTCTGCAAAGCCTGTTGACATTCAGTTGTTTGTGTCTGCATGGTTTCCGCATAGAGATGCGTAGCTGTAGACTTTTCTGGTTGTGCTTTTTTTCCCCCCCTATTGCACAGAAACTTCTATCTCATTCTTCCTAATAATTAATGGTATAGTATATATTAAGGGACTTCACCTGTTCTCACATGTTTTTAAATACTAAAAATCAAGAGGGATGAAAAAGGTGATTTAATCATTAAAGTAGGTACTGACTGCGTGAGTCAGCTAGCGTATGAGGTGAAACTGTCCACCTTTTTTTGAACATGAATACTGCAGAGGTCTCCAGTGCCTCCAGAACGTGTCCAGATAAAACCAATCTTTAAGCTAGAATGAGGTCACTCTTAGAGGGAGCTTATCTGCTTCGTGAGACATTAAATCAGTATCAAAGATGAATCGGTTTGAGTAGGAGATAATGCCTTCCTTCCGTCTTGCTTTTTAGTCCAATAATGTCAAGTGAGCTCCTGAACTGAGCAAGCAGCACCATCTCCTCCGCATCTACTGGGAAATCTCCTTCTCCCCGCCAGCTCTGAGGCACCTTTTGAAGCGTGCTTCTGGCTACAGCCTCCACTCCAGCTCTTGGCTTTCTTTACTCTTCTAATCCAGAGTGGGTGTGTGATCTGTAGGCTCAGACGCAATCCCCACCTCCACCTCTAGCAAAGTTCTGCCTGGTCCGTAGTGCATCGCCCCAGACGAAGCAGCGGCCCCCCTCTCTCCTTGCTGTTTGCAGCCCTGCAGCGAGATGCACAGCGTTCTGCATTTTGAAGGAAGATGCATTCAGACAGCTCTGACTGCTGTGTCTCTGCATGGCAAATGCACGCAGAAAGCAATAGAAATCTCCTTTCAGCAGCACAATAAAATATTTTTCCCGAACAACAGGGGCAGTTGATCTTCACGGGACCTGGATTTTTCTAGTGTTGCTATTTGTATCTGAAATTTCTGAGGTTCATTTCGTGTTTGCAAAAGTTAGAAATCACTTGGATTCTGATTTAAGTTTTAAAAATAGAGTAAACTGAGTGTAAGGTAAATACTTTCCAATTTAGTATACGAATACTTAGAATCGAGAAGAATTTTAGGAACATTACTTTTATATTTTTTTAAAAACCTAACATTTGTCAGTTGATCCACTTTGCTGAAGCTGCTTCAGTCGTGACGCACAGGGTAGGTGTAAGGTTGTGTAGCACTGACAAACTGCAAAAGGAATACGTAAAGCAAGTGAAACTGTTAATATAAGGGGCAGGGTCACATTGTCTTCATTTGATATGAATTTAGAGGAAAGTACCAGTGTTGGCACATTTATGAAATATCCCATATAGTTATTTAGAACCACCAGAAAGCATTTTGAAGTTCGGGGGCCTTGGTTTTAGGGTTTTTTTTAACTTGTATTTTTTTAGGGGGGAGCGGTTGCTACTTGAAAGACAAGACGACGATAGCAGAGAATGCTTTTAGCTGTAGTGACAGACTTACTTGCTTGTGGCTTAGCATGAAAGTGCTGTGTGCTGAGTTGATCATCGCTGCTTGTCACAGTATTTTGTGCTTTATGTGCAAGTACAAAAATACAGATGTTCAGACTGGGCTTAACTTCTGTTTGAGAGAGAATCCAAGAACTTTTTTTTCAGTGGACTTGAGTGTTTCTGTCACTCTCATGGCTTGGGCTTTACACTTCATAAAATATTTTGGTAATACAGAGTTACCTTGTTTTTTAAAAACAAAGTGATGAGAAAACCCAAACACATCACACAGAGATACCTCTCCAACCTTTTTCAAGTTCCATTGCCTTCTAAAAAGCAGTTGCTGTGTCCATGTAATTAAAATTGTCTTCAATGCCCAGAGATGCTGTCCCAGCTTCCCAGACTACAGTTCCACTCGTAGCACTTAAAGAAGTGGTACGAGAGTGTACTGGGTAAAGTAATTCATTGGGAAGCACAAAAGGATGCTTGTGCTGTAACAGCTCAACAGGGATAATTATCAGGCCCTTAATTACTTCTGTTTAGGTTTTCTGAGGGTGGATAGAACACTAGACAAAAGCTTAAGTGCCCCAAATTAGGGTACAAATGGTCATTTGTGTTGCGTCATTTAATTCAGTAGCTTGACTTTTTAGAGTTGCAGCAGTATGCAGTGTTCTGGTTTATGGTTCATTTACATGTGTAGATACAGATTTAGCCTTAAAGTTAGCCTTTTAAAAAGGCTTTGCCTGTAGTGGCTAAATTTTTAATTAATTTCATTTTCTATAATGGCTGCCATTCACCATTTTACACCCTCGGCGTGTTTTATTAAGGATTTGCAGCTATTTATAGAAAAGTTCAATGGCTAGCTCCAACTTCGTCCTGCTTCGCTTGCTGGTTATGAACTCCAAAGCAATAAGCAAATTAGTGCCTGCTATAATATGATGATAGCTCTGTCGCTGATCCATCCAGCCCTACTGACCTCCTTAGATACCCAGCCCTTTCACCATTTAAAAGACAAAATCCTTCACCTTTATCACAGAATACTGTATTTACAGCTGTCAGGCACTTTGGAGGGATGCTTACCTTAGCCTTCGGAGATGGCTGGCATCCTTCAGTCACATTCAGTGAAGAGAAGCTCCGAGAAGGTGGTACAGGGTAGGAAAATGGATGATCTCAACAATCCTCTCTTACCTGTCTGTTGAAGGATCTTAGTAGGCTGTGTGGCTATAAGAGGTCCTGAAGTGCAGTTGCAAACCATATCTGTGATGGGGTGAAGGATCTGTGAAATTCAGTCTTGGGAAACAGCACTGAGGGGATAGCAGTACTAGTCAAAGTTCACGTGATTGGGTGATGCAGGAACGATGGAGTATGTACCAGCTTTTGAATAAAGATCTTGGCCACTGTGAGAAATCGTCAAAAAAATGACGAGCCTAGCAGCTCCTCAGAGCTTAGTGGTGAACCCAAGGATCTTCTGGCAGTGAGCCGTAGGTCTCATCACTTCGAGTGGACATGTGGGTGCTGCTGACAAAGCCAGAAGACAACCATTGTCATCTGGAGAATTTTAACTTCTAAATAGTGATTACTCTACTGACAACTGAAAGTGTGAAAATGTGGCGATAGAGACATCCCTGCATCCCTCTAGCATAGCCCAAGCTCTGAATGTCTGTAAGTCCTGGTTTTATTTCTTTCTGGACGCAGCGACATTGGAATTGGCCAGTCTCAGGATGACAGCATTGTGGGACTGAGGCAAACGAAGCACATTCCTCCTGCTTTACCAGTCAGTGGGACCCTGTCATCCAGTAATCCCGATCTACTGCAGTCCCATCACCGCATCTTAGACTTCAATACTACTCCGGGTAAGGATCCTTTACTGTTGCTCTTTTTGACCTTAGAATTTCCTTTCATTGATCTCTTTTTTTTTTTTTTTTCTTTTTTTCCTTCTGGATTTGTGATGCATGTGAATTTTTATTAGCTGTATGCTGTCACACACAGATTAGCCACATATTAATGCATTAGGATTTATTACATTTGCTCCAATATACTTTACCCGAATTAGATGTGTTTTTCAAGTGTATTGTATACAAAGTGCCTCTTACTGATTGAATACTCTTGGCCAGTGAAAACTGATTTTTCTTGGTACTTTATAATTTGCCCTGATAGATCAGTCTTTACAAGACTGCAGTATTTTCAAATAGCACAGTAGATCATTAGCTTACAGTCAAGCGAAAGGGCATTGAACAGGGACACAGGACATGCATTTCAGTCTTTTTCTGAACAGACCGATAATCATCTTGTACTACATCTGTAAGGGTCAGAGTTTCAAAGTTCCCTGTTAGTCACCCTGCCTTACAGCTGTAAGCTGAATTCTTTGTACATAAAGTGATTTAAAATCACATTCTGAAATGCATAAAAAATGAACACATTTAGCAGAGACGAACAAAGCATGGGGGCGAGTGAGGGAGAAAAAGGGGAAGACTATGAGAAAATTGAGAGCCTGATCTTATGAGAAGGGTTTAGCTGGAGCTCCTGGCAGGGTTGGTATTTGGGCTCTTATCTGGCTGCAGGAAGGTTCTTAGCAGGAAACCTTCTTTGAGTTAAGTATCCAAATCTTTGCTATTAAAACATAGCTGCTGGAGGAGGATATGGTGACGGTAGCTGTGCAGATGCTTGGTTATTTTAGTCGAATCTTCAGAGTATTTCTGAAAAGTAGAACCAAAAATTCAGTGCCCTTCTAAGCCTGAGGGATTTTAAACCTTACCTAAAGAGACGATGCTTAAACAGCAGCCTACGTACAGGCCAGGTTGGTGCAATAATCACACTTGAAGCTGTGATCCTGAGGATCACTTCATCTCCAGTTTCTTAGGGCTAGAGAAGACTACAAGAAGGTGGTATATCATTTTTGTCCCAGTGTCTAAGATTGCTCCTGAGAGAGTGGGAAGACTGGTATTTTTTGTATTTTATCTAACAACTGGTGTCCAGCACTTTGAAGATATTTTTTATCAGTAAGGGCCTGACTTTTCATCAGCACAACTGTAAACGGGTGAAGATTCCGTTCTCTAGCTTGCCATTTACTTAGACCAGATGGTTCTAGGTAATTAATGTGCCCTTAATGCTGAGCACAGCGACTGGCTAAATTCCAGAGCTATGGGCATCGCTGGCTCACACAGCTCAAGCAAACTCCATTAATGGAGAAGGAAAGCCATTACAGGCCTGAAGATCCTTCAATCACCGATGGAGTTCGAAGAAATTTAATAAATGAATCATGTTCTACTGTTTGCCTTTTGCTTTGAGGAAAGGAGATACATAATGATGTAATACCATGGCTTCAGCATTGTAGCAGCTTTTCCATTAGCTTTACAGAAAATGTATGAAGTAATTAGTGCTTTCTCATTTGAAAAAAACCAAAAAACCCACTCTTTTTATTTCTTTGCTTAAAATTTGCCTAAGTGTCCACACACTGAATATTTTTAAAGTAATTCACAGGTATAATTTTTCCCTGTGTGGGAAGGAGGGGAAGGGGGGACTGAAATAAAAAACATGTATACCTTAAGAGCTTTAGGGATGGTTGCATTGTAGCTAGAAGAGTTGAATTATACCTATACCTACTTTAAGACTTGGAAAAAAGTAAAGCCTGCAATTTTAATTTCTTTTATTACCTTGGACTAAATTAAAGATAGAGATGGAGGCAGCTTGCAAGAAATTGAATGCATTGGAGAAGAAAGAGAAAAGTGGTAGAACAGCCATCCTTTGAGGCTTGGGGGAACATCCCTCAGGATAGAAAATAAAACAACTTGCTCTTTTGGAAGGGTAGTCTTTGAGGAGAAAATTAGAGCAGCTTACAGCCTGGAAGGAGTCATTTTAGTTTCTCCTCTGAATTACTCAGGCTTTTTCAAATATACTTTTTAAGGTTTATTTTTAAATGTTCAAATAGTCAATAGCACTTTGATTTCTCTTCTCTTGTGCTGTCCTTGCTATTCGATTGGAAGTCAAAATAATATAGTAATGATGAGCTGCCAGTCACTGGTAGGTTTTTTTTTCCCCACACAAGCTTTTTTCAGGGACTAGATTCCTATCATAAGGCATTGCATTCCTCAGCCTGCCACTCCAGTTTCCTTTTTTTGAAAAGGAGTGAAGGGGGCTGATTACAGTTCTCTTCATGTGCTGTTTTATTTAAAAATTATTGCGCTGAATTACTTGCTCCCACTGCTATAGCTGTAAACGTTTCAGCTGCTGGCAGACTTCTCTCTATTCTGTGTAGTGCTTTGCTACCAGCTCTGATAGGTCTGCAGCCTGAGAAACTGGATGGTAGAACACAGTGCAGAGAGGATACTTCTCTATTTGCCATTCTCTGCGTTTATTCCTGTTGACTTCAGTGATCCAGCGGAGCAAGTTATTTTCCCCTTGCACACCACACTTGTTTCTTGGGAGCGTTAAGTGAGTTCCCACCTTGGTATTGTTTACAGTGGCTTCCCATCTTCATAGCATTTCTCTGAGTGGCAAGTATTTCTGTAGCAGCAAGAGCCAACAAGGTCTAGAGAGCGGTCTGGTTTTTTAGCAACATCTCTGAAAGGCTGGGTCCTTGGCATCTGCCTTCCTCAAGATGTCAAAAAATGTAGAAATTATTTCAGGCACTGCTCCGTATCCCTCGTCAGCTAATTACTGAAGGAAGATGGGTCAATATAGAGTTGGTCTTCTAAGCCTGAGGGATTTTAAACCTTACCTAAAGAGACGATGCTTAAACAGCAGCCTACGTACAGGCCAGGTTGGTGCAATAATCACACTTGAAGCTGTGATCCTGAGGATCACTTCATCTCCAGTTTCTTAGGGCTAGAGAAGACTACAAGAAGGTGGTATATCATTTTTGTCCCAGTGTCTAAGATTGCTCCTGAGAGAGTGGGAAGACTGGTATTTTTTGTATTTTATCTAACAACTGGTGTCCAGCACTTTGAAGATATTTTTTATCAGTAAGGGCCTGACTTTTCATCAGCACAACTGTAAACGGGTGAAGATTCCGTTCTCTAGCTTGCCATTTACTTAGACCAGATGGTTCTAGGTAATTAATGTGCCCTTAATGCTGAGCACAGCGACTGGCTAAATTCCAGAGCTATGGGCATCGCTGGCTCACACAGCTCAAGCAAACTCCATTAATGGAGAAGGAAAGCCATTACAGGCCTGAAGATCCTTCAATCACCGATGGAGTTCGAAGAAATTTAATAAATGAATCATGTTCTACTGTTTGCCTTTTGCTTTGAGGAAAGGAGATACATAATGATGTAATACCATGGCTTCAGCATTGTAGCAGCTTTTCCATTAGCTTTACAGAAAATGTATGAAGTAATTAGTGCTTTCTCATTTGAAAAAAACCAAAAAACCCACTCTTTTTATTTCTTTGCTTAAAATTTGCCTAAGTGTCCACACACTGAATATTTTTAAAGTAATTCACAGGTATAATTTTTCCCTGTGTGGGAAGGAGGGGAAGGGGGGACTGAAATAAAAAACATGTATACCTTAAGAGCTTTAGGGATGGTTGCATTGTAGCTAGAAGAGTTGAATTATACCTATACCTACTTTAAGACTTGGAAAAAAGTAAAGCCTGCAATTTTAATTTCTTTTATTACCTTGGACTAAATTAAAGATAGAGATGGAGGCAGCTTGCAAGAAATTGAATGCATTGGAGAAGAAAGAGAAAAGTGGTAGAACAGCCATCCTTTGAGGCTTGGGGGAACATCCCTCAGGATAGAAAATAAAACAACTTGCTCTTTTGGAAGGGTAGTCTTTGAGGAGAAAATTAGAGCAGCTTACAGCCTGGAAGGAGTCATTTTAGTTTCTCCTCTGAATTACTCAGGCTTTTTCAAATATACTTTTTAAGGTTTATTTTTAAATGTTCAAATAGTCAATAGCACTTTGATTTCTCTTCTCTTGTGCTGTCCTTGCTATTCGATTGGAAGTCAAAATAATATAGTAATGATGAGCTGCCAGTCACTGGTAGGTTTTTTTTTCCCCACACAAGCTTTTTTCAGGGACTAGATTCCTATCATAAGGCATTGCATTCCTCAGCCTGCCACTCCAGTTTCCTTTTTTTGAAAAGGAGTGAAGGGGGCTGATTACAGTTCTCTTCATGTGCTGTTTTATTTAAAAATTATTGCGCTGAATTACTTGCTCCCACTGCTATAGCTGTAAACGTTTCAGCTGCTGGCAGACTTCTCTCTATTCTGTGTAGTGCTTTGCTACCAGCTCTGATAGGTCTGCAGCCTGAGAAACTGGATGGTAGAACACAGTGCAGAGAGGATACTTCTCTATTTGCCATTCTCTGCGTTTATTCCTGTTGACTTCAGTGATCCAGCGGAGCAAGTTATTTTCCCCTTGCACACCACACTTGTTTCTTGGGAGCGTTAAGTGAGTTCCCACCTTGGTATTGTTTACAGTGGCTTCCCATCTTCATAGCATTTCTCTGAGTGGCAAGTATTTCTGTAGCAGCAAGAGCCAACAAGGTCTAGAGAGCGGTCTGGTTTTTTAGCAACATCTCTGAAAGGCTGGGTCCTTGGCATCTGCCTTCCTCAAGATGTCAAAAAATGTAGAAATTATTTCAGGCACTGCTCCGTATCCCTCGTCAGCTAATTACTGAAGGAAGATGGGTCAATATAGAGTTGGTGAGAAAAGGCAGAACTGGCTGGCTAGTTGTAAGGTATTTGAACATTTGACTCAAGGGCTTAGAGAGGGCGAAAGCCTGGCCTGTGCTGACACCCGTTGGGTGCCGCTGCCGATGCAGCCACTCAGGGCTAGTGTTTCCGTGTCGGTGCTGCTCAGGCTGCTAAAACACCACTGTCAGCTTAAAAGTTATGGGCTTATTTGCATGAAGTTGGTAAACCAATATATTTAAACCTAAAGAGCCTTTGTGGCGTGTAAATCAACTCATATCAGAGGGATTTATCTTAATGCTTTCCAAATTATTATTTTGGAGACATGCTGCAGCAGTGGGAAAACGTTAGTTTTCGTTCTTCTGCACAAGATTTCTGTTGCTGAATAGTTCTTTCTGCAGTGACTTGAAAACATGTTGTGCACATTCAGGTCTTGTCAAAAAAGATTGTGGTTGTATCAAAGTAAATGTTTTCATCTGGCAGCTGTTTTTTCAGTATTTTTTTAATAATGATAATTTTTTGGCTGTAGATTCAGAAGGCTTTTTATTATTATGTATTTTCTTTTTTGTATGACCTTTATGATCTAAAAAAAATTAAAGAATTTTTTTTAAAATACATTCATTAAAGAAAAAATAATGACCAGATGTCATGCCACACAAAACTAGAACAGGTAATTTGTAACAGAGGGAAGAAATTAATAGAAAGTACTTGTTAGCTAAAAATACCTTATGTTATAGGTGTACTTTTTTTCGTTTTTTATTACAATGATAACAATCAAACGTCAGTTGATTAATGGTTCCATTTTCAATACATTAATGGAAATATGGAAATATGTATGGATTCGGTATTTCCATATAGCTTATGGAAATACAAAATCCAACATTTGCAGTTAGGCTGATAAATATCCAGATCTCCTAAAAACAGCTGCCTTGTAGGGGATCACTGTAAGTTTTCTGTCATCAGTCACTTGAAACAATAATGTATTTAGAACTCAAATATTTGTGAAATGTTTTTCTAGCTCTGTCTGCTTCAGTTTTTAATTACTAAAACATTGGCACAGAGAAATAAAGAGCAAATTTTCAGTCTGTTACTTATTGTTATGATTTAAATGTATGAAGGATAGGACATTTCTGATAGTGAAGTACTTGGATGCATTAATACTACTGCAGTTTATTTGTGTGTAGGTGCATGCTGTGCATCTTCCTAGCTACTTATATGTACATTTCTTCCCTTTGTATGTGGCACTGTGGTTGAGTGTCAGACTTAGGCAAATGAGTTATTTTTTTAAAACATCCTTAGGAAGATTGACACTCGTATCACCTAATTTACTTAAACTTCTCATATGTCAGTGTATAGGGTAGTGTTGTTGATTTTTCTCCGACTTAAATGGAATTTACCAGGACTCAACACCTGTAAAAATCAGACTGCTCATTAATTTGTCTGTCCAAACTTTGGAACTGTTAACACAGTTTTGTGGCTTGCCCTATCGGTAGCCTAACTGACTTCTTTTCCTGGTTGTTGACAGAGCTAGTCATTCATTAAAAAAAGGCAGCTGTTTCATGAGAGAGAGAGAGGTGAAACAACGATAACGAAGTAAAAACTGGTAACGCTAGTAATTAGACTCTGTGTAACTGATATTGTTGCTTGCTCTTATACCCTTAATTGTTTTCTGCTTTACTGAATTGCATACCTTGCGTGTAACTTTTTTCCAGACTTACCAGATCAAGTTCTGAGGGTTTTCAAGGCAGATCAGCAAAGTCGCTACATCATGATCAGTAAGGACACAACAGCAAAAGAAGTGGTCATCCAGGCTATCAGGGAATTTGCTCTCACCGCAACCCCCGATGCGTATTCGCTATGCGAAGTCTCTGTCACGCCTGAGGGTGTAATCAAGCAAAGGAGGCTTCCTGATCAGTTATCCAAGCTTGCTGACAGGATACAGCTGAGTGGCAGGTGAGATTGGAGACTGTGAGCCAAACCTGATGATGCCAGTTTAAGTCAAAATCCTGTTAACAGGAGCGTTACTCAACTATCAATGTTCTGTTTCTTTGCAAGCAATTGCTCTTTATGAAACTCCTAATTAATATCTAGGCCTGGTGAAATTCAGTTTTTTCTATGATTCTGACTGGATCATTACTGTAACTTTCAACAGAATTTGCGTATACTGTATCAAGTGTCTTTTTGACTTTTGTTTTTACAGATATTACCTGAAGAACAACATGGAAACAGAAACTCTTTGTTCAGATGAAGATGCTCAAGAGTTACTAAGGGAAAGTCAAATTTCCCTACTACAGCTCAGTACTGTTGAGGTGGCTACCCAGCTCTCCATGAGAAACTTTGAGCTATTCCGTAATATTGAACCCACAGAATACATAGATGACTTGTTTAAACTCAAATCAAAAACAGGTTGCACTAATCTAAAAAAGTTTGAAGAGGTGATAAATCAAGAAACGTTCTGGGTGGCTTCTGAGATTCTGAGAGAAACCAACCAGCTGAAAAGGATGAAGATCATAAAGCATTTCATTAAGATAGCACTACACTGCAGAGAATGCAAGAACTTCAACTCGATGTTTGCCATCATTAGGTATTGCCCCTTAGTAATTTTAATTCTAAGTAAAAAGCAAAGTCTTGCTTATGACAGTCTAAAAAAATGCATTTAATAGAGTAAACCAATCAATACTGCTAGCATCAACACCTGGCAGTCCAATAAGGAGGGCATTTTCCAGTAATCTGAACTTGACATTGGAACGTTTGCTGAAATATTATTTGGAATGCTTCTGTTATGTACAGATTGCTCAAGACAGCGAGGCAAGAGTCATTGGTGAACATGGCAATAGAGAAACTACTGCACTTATTTAAAAACAAAGACCCAAAGAAATGGCAGTGATATGAAGAAAAATTAGAACATTGTCATAAATGAATGGGTTAATTTTGCAAAGGAACCTCAGAATTTTAGACAGCTCCGAATATCTTGAATTCATCGAGCCGTGAAATGTTACCTTTCATTTTCTTTGTATCAGCAGTTTCTTGGATGGAACTGTGATAATAATCAATAGCAAACTACAATGCCATATAGGAAGCTGTAAATAAAGATCTTTTATTAAGAATTAAAAAGTACTGAAAATCTCAGACAGAAAAGCTTTCTTAGTTTGGGAATGGAAAGGAGGAGAGGAAACTCTAATGTGTGTGTTTATACACATTTTTTTTAAACATTCATACTTCCTGTAGAGGCTCCCAAGTTAAGCAGAAAGAACCTAACAAAAAACATCCCTACAAACTGGCTCTTATGAAAAAGCTTGAGTAAGTTGCATTAAAATGACGATTTTATCACTGTCTCTGGCAAAAGCCCTTCTCACATTCACTCAGCAGACTGAATGTGACACTTTTTCTGGAGATCACTGATTCTGAATACCATTCAATCAAACATGGCAAGTTCCAAAGTCAAGGAGCCGTACTGATAATCAGGCAGCATCTCTGAGATTTAGCTCAGCTCTTTCAGCTGATCTCAATGAGAAACAAAAGCAGCCTGCCTGCTAGCAAAAACTTGAGTGAAGGAAAGATTATAGACACCAGATTTTCCCATAGGTAGAAAAGAATAGCAAGACAGGCAGTGCCATTAAGGGGAAGAAAAAACAAAACCCAACTGGTTTTTGTACCAGCTACAGCTTCAGAATAATCCCAAACATACAGAGTCAGTTACAACACAACAAAATCTGGATTATTGCAGGAAGAAGGTGGGTCACTGTGCTGTCACCACCTAAACCTTATGTAGGTGGAAGATGGGTTTTCCTCTAGTCTGGCAATCTGGAAACAAGTGGTGATCCTGAGGTACTCCGAGATTAGGATACTGTTATCAAATTCGTACAGTGTTCCACAGTAATAAGTACATATTCTCTATAATGTTTAATTCCTTGTCCAAGTGTAACTTTTATCTGTTTATGGTTACATCGTGCAGATATCTCCAGTTTTTATAGCTTTTATAAAAATGATCTTGATAGTTCTGTATACATGCTGGCAAAAGGAAGTTTTCACTTTCTGTTACTTTATTGACATTGCTGTGCTGTGCTGTTCTGGCTATGGGGTATTTCTCCCATACAAGATTTAACACAGTCTTTTTCAGGACTTTTGTTTCTTTCTATTGTTCTTGAAGTTTCTTGCACTTTTTTTCTTTGTTTCAAGTGGCCTGAATTTGGCACCAGTAGCAAGGCTCCGAACTACTTGGGAAAAGCTTCCAAGCAAGTATGAGAAACTTTTTCAAGATCTACAGGATTTGTTTGATCCATCTAGGAATATGGCAAAATATCGTAATGTCCTGAACAGCCAGAACCTACAGCCCCCCATTATCCCACTGTTTCCTGTTATCAAAAAAGACCTCACATTCCTTCATGAAGGTAATAGCAGAAGTACGTCATCTTTTACTAGCTAAGGAGAACTAACCTTTCTGCCTAATAACTGATGTTGTTAATCGTTGATCGTAGGAAATGATTCGAAAGTGGAGGGCTTGGTCAATTTTGAGAAGCTGAGAATGATTGCGAAGGAGATACGCCATGTTGGTCGCATGGCCTCTGTGAACATGGATCCTGCGTTAATGTTTCGAACGAGGTAAGTGTGGTGTAGCAGGCAGAGCTCTTCCCAGCTGAGGGAAGGCTAGGTGTCAGCAAGAGGAGCTTTTCAAGTGCCCCTTGTCGTTTTGGAGCAGTATGAGGTTTCCATTTGTTGTTAACAATTTACCAAAATTGTGCGGTGTTCCAAAACTGGAGAAATCATTACATTTTGTGTTCGTCAATATATATTAAAATGTTTTATATTATTCCATAGTTGCCAGTTCATAAAAATGAGATTCCATCAATGGGAGGGAGGGAGGGAGGGAGGGGAAGATACTGTTTTGAACACGTGTATTAGTCTGCTTGAAACGTTGATGTGTGCCAGCCTTAATGTTTTGATTTAGTAGAAGTGGTAATGTCTCTGAAACAACATCAGCTAGTGGTGTTAGAAAACGTGGAGTGAATGCTCTTTGGCTTCATGTTTGACTGGCTTATTGCATATTTTTTCTTAATTTGAGCTAGAAGAATTTGTAATATCTGACTGTATGCCCAAGTCAAGGCTCTTTTTGATGTTTGTGGGCTTCCAGAACTGCTTGTCGTAAGGTCTGGTCTTTTTCTTTCTGAGCTTGTGATCTTTCTCTGTCTCTTCTTAAACCCATGCTTTACTCTTCCTGGCTCTCACTTGCAGGAAGAAGAAATGGAGGAGTTTGGGGTAAGTGGTTGGAGACAACGCACACAGACATTCATTCTTACCTTACCATTTGCATTGTTTCCTACCTGCTGTCTTTAATTTTCTGGTGCTTCGACATTTTTTTCTTTTGTTAACCCTTTTTACTGACAATACATTTTAATCCAGGAGTGTTTTTGCTTTTGAGGTTAAAACACCAAAGTTGTAAATTATTTGTAAATGGTTGTAGATGGGAGTGAGGTGTTCTTCTCCCCCACCTCCAATTTAAATTGCCAAAGGAAGTGACTTTCAGTAAAAGAGAAATTATAGAATGGCAAGGCTGCAACAGCTGAAAATTGCTGTTAACTTCCTTATGCCTAATAAGCAAGTATCACAATCAAATACAAAAGCTAAAACTTACAGCATTGCTGAACTAACTTACTTTCGTATTGCAATTCAGCCATCATTTTTACTCTTAACAATTCAGGAACAATGCATAGCTTTCATATAGACATACATACATCTGAATGCTCATGACATTTCATCATGAACTGGCTAATCGTTTTGTTTAACAAAAAGCTGTCTTCAACCTAGCAAGTTACAAGGCAGTTCTGTTCTGTAAAACTGAGCTGTACATTTTGTATATGGTCTGATTTTAAAAGTATCTAGAGAGCTTTCAAACTGCCTTCTATATATATATTTAAATTTGAACCTCAGCTATAGTCTTCTGTCAGCATTGCCTTACTGCATGAGCTTTTCCTAATGCTCCAACCTCCTCAGTAGCTGGCTTACGTGAGAGAGCTAGCTTGAATGCTTTTCTAGATGTGTGAAATGATTTTGCCTAGTTGGGCCAGAATAGGTTAAAATATTTATGTAATTAAAACAGTGCCTGTAACTAAGTAAAAAGATTTCCTGACCCTCATCTTTCTATCTCTTGTAGCTGTTTGACTTACTGGAATGAGGCATGTAAGCTTTGACCGTAGACTGACACTCATGCAATCTTTTGCGCGTTTCATGTTTATCAAGTGACACCGTGTTGGGCTAAGTCATACTTTTCCCCTCTTTCCTTCCCCCTCCTGTCCCCGCTTCGCTCCAGGTCTCTCAGCCAGGGCAGTGCCAATGCAGCCGTGCTGGACGTCGCGCAAACGGGGGGTCATAAAAAGCGGGTCCGTCGCAGCTCCTTCCTTAATGCAAAAAAGCTGTATGAAGATGCTCAGATGGCACGGAAAGTCAAGCAGTATCTCTCAAACTTGGATCTGGAAATGGATGAAGAGAGTCTCCAGACGCTGTCTCTGCAGTGCGAGCCAGCCACCAACACACGTGAGCATTGTGATTTGCCATGGATTTCAAGGAAACTGTTAAATTTACCTCAGTTTCTTCTCCAAGGAAGTAATTGGGAGCAGTAACTAGACAATGAGGTGGAAAATGAGGTGTCTGGTCGTTTCCAATTACTGAACATTTGTGAATCTTAAGGAAATCATCTTGCAGATTAACAATATAGAGATATAGCATTTATATAGGAGATAAGGCTTTCAGGTGGTGTCATGCTGAAGTGCACAAGGGTTCTTCAGATTTGTCTGTAGAAAGGGTAGGGAGGAGCCAAAAGTTTCTGCCCAGTTCTGATGTATTCAGGCTAGTGGTGTGAATAAGGTTGGGCATCCTGGATATCTTGGCCTTGAGAGAGGGCAAAACGGATTTCCTTACATCCAGGTGTTTCAGAGACTCTTGGAGGGCTGCATCTGGCTGCAGCAGAGGGGGACTTCATGCTGGATATCAGTTTCATTTTGATTGAGGGAATGCTGTATCTTATGCCCTTCTCTTCCTTCAGGGTAGCAAAAATAGTAATTATATATCCATTCTAAGCCAGCTGTAGTCCTTGCGATAGCCCAGTGTAACTTCTGGTGATGTTTTTGATAACTATAGCAATAGTCATTTATGAGAGTTTTATTTTGGGAAAGTGAGTAAACGTTCTTTGATAATGTACGTATTTTAAATGGAGGTAAATCTCCCCTCTTCAGCTTTTCTCTCTAAAGGTATCCTACTACATTAATTGTACAAGTATTTGAGAGCCTTTTCATTATTAATTGGAGGGCTTCGCACTACTCGGCTTAAAACTCCCACAGTGTTTTTAGCTCATAGTCATTCTGTATTTTCTCCCATTTCTTGCGAAGTGCCAAAGAATACAGGAGACAAGCGATCTGGAAAATCTGAAACGTCACCGGTGGCTCCCCGGGCAGGCATCCAGCAGAAAGTGCAGCAGCAGCAGCAGCAACATAAAGTAAACCAAGCACTGCAAGTCCCTGCCGTATCTCTTTATCCCTCTCGCAAGAAAGTGCCAGTCAAAGACCTCCCACCGTTCGGTGAGTGGAACAGTGAAGCATTTGCTTTAATGCTCTGAAGTTTGTTTGCTTATGTCAGGGAGACATTTGTAAGCAAACAAGATTCAGACATTTATTTCTGGCAGTGTTACATGCAGGTTGTGCCAGTTCGTGCAGGGTCTATGCGTAATTCCCTTCTCTAGAGATGGAAGGAAAGAAATCTAGGGAAGCAACCCATCAGTTTAATCGGTGTCAGTATTTACCTGTTACCAGCAGCTGGACAGAGTGAATGTTTCGGACTGTCTGCCCTGGGATCTTGGCTTAACTTTTCCAAAGGGATTAGTGACTTGAAGTTTTTGAGTGACCCTTCTGAGATCCCTCAGAAGTTTTGGCATTTTTTCAAAAGTTGAATATTTAATGGAAAATTCAGGCCTGCTCAAGCTGGTAGTCCCGTTAGAAATGTAGGCCTGAAGTTTCGTGCTGAGAATTGTTCCTTTGCCTTCTGCTCCCTAGTGCTTTTTTATAGTTGTTATTCAGTCGTTGCTGCCTGCGTGTCGCCCAGAAAGATACCGGACTGTAGGAATTTCTTCTAATCTGATTTCCAAATCTGTGTCCCAGCATGTGTACATAACATATATGCATTATTAAAGGACTTCTTACTTAGATCACTTTGAAGTACGGTAATATTCCTGTGTAGCATCACTGGCCTTTCCTGCTGCATGATGGTAATTTCTGCTTAATTCTGATTTCACTTTTCATTAGTTTTACTGATGCACTGCTTAGGCTCCTAGTGAGACATTAGAAGAAGCAAAATGAGCAAGAAACAATTCACTATTCATCTAGTTCTTGGTGATTTTACCATTAAATTTTAATCTTAAAAGGGCTATGAAGTGCCATAGACTGCACTTTTGCTCGTGGTGGGAAATTTTCTGAAAGCTGACAAGGTTATGTTGATGAAGCAGCTGTAGATTATTGATAGCAGCATTGTGATCCAACAGAGCAAAATTCTGCAGAATGCTGGAAAATAACCTCTGCCACAAACACTTGCAAAACCATCAGAGAAGCTTCGTCTTCACTTGTAAGACTGTCCCAGGGCGGATTTTGGAGGGGAGGGGAAGAGAAAGATGGATAAACATTGCCTGAGAAAAACAATTCTTGATGCCCTAGATCTTAACATCATGCATCATCTTCAGGATGTTGTTACTCTTTGGTTGCCGAAAATAAGCCAGTGCAGAGATAGTTCTCAAAAATGAAAGAGAGAAAGGCAGCTGCAGGCTGGCCTTGTTTTGTAAGCCTAATCTTATTTGCCTTCTTTGCAGCTTCCTTTGACCCTCTAGGCTACTCTGAATAGGATAGAAACGGGAGAGCAGTTTCAGTTCTTACTGTATAAACCTTTGCTAACCAGTGAGATTTGTGTGTGCTTGTATTCAACATAATTCTAGTTCAGGTTTTTCGGTAACCGTTGCTATGCATATTCTTCATTTGTATATTGTATAGGCAGTATTCTGCAACACCAAATCTGCATTGTGTTTTCTGTGACAGAGTATTTATTTTAGCTGGCAGAAATGAAAGAATGGCCTCAGTCATCTGCAGAAATAAAGCGCTACATTTTAAACCTGAGTAGGTTTAAACTTTTGGCTTCGTTTAAGCTGATGTCAGAAACCCACAAATATACAGGGAAAAAAATAATTTCCTGTATATTTGTGGGTTTCTGACATCAGCTTATGGTGTCTGCTCTATAAATGCATTGTGAAGCAGAAAGATGTATTTACGCTGGACTTTAAATCTGCCTACATTAATTCTTGTTTAAAGGCATTAACTCCCCGCAAGCTTTAAAGAAAATTCTTTCATTATCTGAAGAAGGAAGTTTGGACCGTCACAAGAAACAGTCTGAAGACACAATATCAAGTGCATCTTCACAGCTGTCTTCTCCTCCCACTTCACCACAGAGCTCTCCAAGGAAAGGTATTAGATGTGCAATATTTCCCATCCTGTCTCCTGAAGCTCATAGACTTCAGAAACTTCTGAGAGAGAATTTTGACACTTGGGTTAAATTAGTGGTGCTCCTGTTTTTGTCACACATGGTCAGGAAGAGGGCAGGAAGTGTAGTGCACAGTGGGGATACCTGAAAGGACACCTGGGAACCTGATTTCAGGGATACCTGGAAGCCTTCTGGTCAGCAAAAGCCAGGAAAACTAGCCTGAACTGGTACAGGATTTGATTCAGGAGGTCACTCTCATTGCAGCTGCTGCTGCCAAAAATATTCCCATCGTCAGCGCTTCCTGCCGGTGGAAGGACGTGCAGATTGCCCGTTACAGTATGTGTCCACCACTGAGCACGCCAGCCTCTGAGAGGAGTTATTTGCTGTGCCACGCAACTGGATGGGCAGTGACCTGTGTGTGACAGGCAGGCTTAAAGTATTTGGGATTCAAATCGCTGATACACAACATTTTACTAGAAGCCTAATTAACTATTCAAGCAATGTTTATGGATATTTGAGGAATGGTATTACAGATTGGCGCTTTCTTGACGGAGTTAAATTTTAAATGATTTTGTAGAGTTGTTTTTTTTAAAGTGAATTTAGGACTTTGAAGGGATTTTAACCTGTCTTTTTGTACTTGTTCTGGTTATGAATTGACAAAACAGAATGGGGGCATTTTCCTGTAGTTTAAACAAAAAAAAAAAAGTCCCCTTGGAAGTATGATAGCCCATTTTAATGCAGATAACTTCTAAGTTATTCTCTTTTCAGATTATCATGAAGGTTCAGTTTAACAGTTACATGGCATAACATTTCATAAAATACATGTATGGGGTTGAGTTCCCATAATAGAAATTCAGAATGCTAAAGAGATGAGGGCGTGGGAGACTTCCCAGTAGCAATAACTTTCCCTAAACTGCACAGGGATGGTAAGGATTTGAAACTTGTGTGGGTGTCACTTTTCTACTTTCTTATCAAATGGGTAGCTGAGTCCTTTTCTTAACGTGGTAGGTGGCAGTGCCGATCAGCTGAGGGCTTATGGCTCCAGACTAATGGACCTAACCAGTTCCTCCTCCTCTCGGAAGGCAGAACAGCAAAATGAATAACAATTCACCAAGGGCCTCTGGGATAGGTGGGGCTTATGGAAACGAAAGGGGAAAAAAACACTCCTGTTGAATAATCTGAAAAGAGGAGAGATGAATATAGCAAGAAAGTACAAATGCCGATCTGAGATATCTGTTGAAGTGATCTTTACTAAGGTCAGATGAAGGAGGTTGTTACGTAGGGAAGACTTAGATTATCATCTCAAATCCTTGTAAGATATCAGAATGATTTCTCCCAAATACCGTATTTGCAAAGAGTGAATTTAATATAATATAAATTTGGTCAGGCCTGTGCATTTCTTTAAAAAGGATTTGGGATTCTGTACTTGGCTTATAGTGGGAAAAGTACTTTATTTTTGCAAAAAGCAAATTGTAAACATAATTACAAATGTTAAAAAAATTGTTGGCTTGATGGTGTCATGAAGCTAATGGAATGTTCTTTCAGGCAGATCTGGCAGCACTAAATGTATGTTCTCAGCAAGTGAATTGGATCAGTTGAAGTCATCTTGACACTTATATGTAGACTGAAAGCAAAAAAATGAAAACTGCAGTTACTTGTAAATGTATGTTGTTTAATGATCTTTAACTTAGCTGGCAAGAGCATTCAGCACAACTTTGTTTAATACTAAAAAAAAAAGCTGAATTTGCCTCTGACATTTCCTGGTTTGCAGATTTTATCTCATCCTGGCGGTGTCAATGCTACCTCCAAATTATGTTATAATTCCGGTAATACATGCTATAGAATATTGTCTTTTTGGTATGTAATTAGTTAGCCAAGTACCACAAAGAAAGCCTGAAAATCTTGAATAGGTTTTTTAAACTGTATTGAAAAACAGGCGCCCTCTCTCAGCCAAGATACGTAATAAGCAGTCAGGCCAGACAGCTGTGCTTGATGTTCTGTCTGCTCTTCAACCCTGAAGTGTAGCTTTGCAGAACAGAAATACTTTGGGAGGGAGTCTCTTGAATTGTTTAAAGCAGTAACCTTGTCCAGGGCATCACTTTCATTCCGATCTTGGTGACACTGTCTATGTACAGGCAGTTTTTTGAGAAGTGAGATTTCGTAATGCGAGGATGCAAGTGTGATGATGCATTTGAAAATAGTTTGGGGAGAGGAGGGCAGAGAGGAAGGGAAGCGAGCACTTGGTTCCTAAATGAGTAGTGGATCTTCTCACAATCTTAAACCTCTTACTAAGAGACAGAATACACAGAGTTACACAGTTCTGCTGTGTGTCTTTGCCTTTTGCAGTGCTGCCTCTGTGTAAACGCAACCGTAGTTTTGATTTACTATGGTAGCAGTGTTGCCGACTGCCTGGCAGTAATGGAGCAGGCTGCTTGGAGAGTCAGACTAACGTGGCGTTCCCTTTGCAGGCTACACTTTGGCTCCCAGCGGCACGGTGGATAACTTCTCAGATTCTGGCCACAGCGAAATTTCTTCCAGATCTAGTATTGTCAGCAATTCCTCTTTTGACTCAATGCCAGTCTCCCTGCATGACGAGAGGAGACAGAGGCATTCTGTCAGCATCGTGGAGACAAATCTTGGTGTGGGAAGGATTGATAGAAGAATCATGATTGAACCGGATCAATACAGTTTAGGGTAGGAATTTTATGTGTGCTTACTTACATTATGCTTTCATATAGTGTGTATGTGGCATGTATATTTGTTCATGTAACTTTCCTGGTATCTCTCTCGAGTATTTTTTTCCTCCCCTACTCTTAAAAACTGCTATTTCAATGCTGCGTTGTATGATAATGCTTTGTTTTCTGACAAGAAAGGTTTTGCAGTCCCAAGCGTGTGATGAGGTCTACAGCAGTAAGACTTTACCTCAGTAGACCTTCCCATCTGAGCATTTAGTAGTGCTGTAGATCATCCTTTTTATGGCAGACTAGTATCCTAGCCTGTTTTCTAGGTGGGGAATTAACTGAATTAGATGAGAAATTATTCTTAGAATTATTCAGTGATCAAGCTGAGAACAGAAATAGCTAGTAATTTTCCAGTCTGTTTCATAGAAAAGTGCATATATATCTAACTCAGAAGTATTTTGTCCCAAATATCTCTTCTAGTCAACAATAATTGGAAGCTAAAATTCACATTAGGCTGCTGGTTTTCTAGGTAATTTTCTAGGTAATTAACTTCTGTAATGGTGGGGAAATTAGTGCTGTGAGGAGTTCTCTGAATCTCGAGCAGTGAGGCTTGGTCTGAAAATAATTGGAGCTCTGGCTCCTGTTTAGTCACTGCTTACTTTTCTGAGCAGTTATTTGGATGCTTCAGTCCTCTGAATGGTTTCAGGGTTTTTAATCCTGCGGAGTCTGTGGATGACAGGCCTGTTCCAAAACTGGAGTACTGCAGCTCTGGGAATCCCAGGCTATGCAAACTCTTTAATCGGATGTCTCCAATATTTGGAAGAGCAGGATTCCAGTCTGCATAGCAGGCTGCCCTGGAAGGACAAATCCCAGGAGCCTGGGTAGCTGCTAAACAAAAGTGACACTTTGTCGGTTTTCTCTGCCGCTGTGTAAGCGATAGCGTCAGGCTTGCTTAGTCGCTGAAGGGCTATGGAGAGCATGCTTGGTCTATGAAGTGACATGTGTTTCCAAAATTAAGGTTAAGATAAATTACCGTTTGCAAGAAATGTTGAAAAGTTGGCTTTCAGAGTTTCCTAAGCAGGAGAAAAATCTGAAAAGCTGAAACCTGAACGTAAATATCAGCCACCTCCCTGCTAAAATTGGGTTTCTAGTTCTGATCCTTTGCTTCGCATGGCTGGAACAGCAGTAGGAACCCTATCTATCAGTCTGTTCCCCTTTACATATGTCAGTGTGGTTTGCCTGTCTTAAAGGGCTGCTGCAAAGTTAACATTTTACCTTTTGAGCTGACTCCACTGAAGAGTTAAGTTTTGTCAGGATATCTGTCCATTAATTGTTTGTTTTGGTTTGGTTTATTGAAGATGAGCTTGAAAGGAAAGGGTTCTATTTTCAAAATTGAATTAGTCATTAATGCAAATAGTACTTAATAGAAATGTATCAAAACCTTCAGTCATAGAATCATAGAAAGGTTTGGGTTGGAAGGGACCTTTTAAAGGTCGTCTAGTCCAACCCCCCAATAAGTTTGCTTCTCTCTTGATTGTTGAATTGTTCATGTGTCTTGTAAACGATCCCCAATTCCAACGCTGGATTTATTTTTGTTTTTTTCCCCTCGTCAATGTGCATCTAGCTCATATGCACCACTGTCAGAGACCAGAGGCCTGTATGCTGGAGCAACTGTGCTTTCTTCTCCTAGTACAGAAGAATTGTCACAGGATCAGGGGGACAGAGCTTCGCTCGACGCAGCTGACAGTGGCCGCGGTAGCTGGACTTCTTGTTCGAGTGGTTCTCATGACAACATACAAACGATACAGCACCAGAGAAGCTGGGAGACGCTGCCTTTCGGACATGCTCATTTCGATAGTTCGGGCGATGGGGCAGGACTGTGGGCCTCGGGCAGTCATATGGACCAGCTGATGTTCCCCGACCATGGCACAAAGTATGGCAGGCAAAGTCAAGGCAGGGAGGGCCTTGACCAAGCACAGTCCAGAGCAAGCTGGGCATCCTCAACAGGATACTGGGGAGAGGACTCGGAAGGTGATACAGGTACCATAAAGCGTAGGGGTGGGAAGGATGTTTCCATTGAAGCTGAAACCAGTAGCATAACATCTGTACCAGCAGAGGAGTCAAAGCCACCTCCCATACCCACTCATATAGCAACACCATCAAGTAGTACAAAGGGGCTTATTGGTAAGTTGAATTTTGTTCACTATTAAGTATTTTAATTTGCTTATGATCTAATATCTTTGTCTTGTTCTAAAACGGCATTTCTTTTGTCTGGTTTGATTTTTTTTTTTTTCTTTATTTCTAAAGCAAAACCACACATTTTGCAGTCCCTCTCAGATTTTCCTCTTTAACTGTGCCTGTATTGCAATATCACTTATTGTTGATTCTCAGTTCTGGCAGCGCCTTTATGTTTCAAGAGAGCCTGCCATATATCAGAAAGAACTAGCTCAGCTGCCGGGCAGTGTTTTGAGAGGTTGATGTATTCAGATGTCTGTTCTGAAATGTGAATTTCTCTTCACAGTAAGGCTCCACATTCTATATTTAGAAATCTTAATAAATGCGGCCTGCTTTTTTTAGAAGTGTTTTACTTTACACATCTGTATGACTTGTCTGATAATTGTGAATATTCCTTACTTCTGAAAATGGGATCACTTTCTGCTTAATACTGAGATGTTTCTTTGGACTGCTGAAGCTGAAGAGGTTCCTAAGAAGTTAGGGCTGAAATACGTTTATAATCGTTCAACAAAAGAAAGATCAGATATTATATAAATTAATACCACGAGGTCTTTGGCAGAGCTTAACGTTTTTCTCGCACTGCTCCTTCTACATGTCCCAGGCCTTGGGCCATCCAAGACCTCTGCATTTTTGCCTCTTTCCTTCCTTTCGTTCCACTTCGCTTTGCCTTTCTTCAAGTTAAAATGAAGAACTATCTAAAAGCCATTTTGTGCTGACACAGCCGAAAAAGTCTGCCAGATTGAGGTCACACCGAGACCACCGTGATAAACTGCTTTTCCATTTTCTGCCCAGGTACATTGCTTAGCAATGGCCCATTGCCTCAGAGCTTGGGCACAGGTCTGAGTCCCTGAGCTGGGAAGAGACGGAAGCTGTTCAGTTCAGGACTCCACGTTCAGATTCATGCCGCGCTCTGGTTTTGCTCTTTGATCCCCTTGATTTCCGCCCAAATGTGGAACAAGTGTGCTTCCAAACCTGCCTCTCAAGGCAGTGCTTGCCACTATGTTTTTAGAGGCTTGAGAGAATGTGAGACATACACAAAAATTCAAACCACACGCTTCCACGCGCCTCAGTACAATTAAGTAATTATCCTGCAAATATAACTGCATATCGCAGAAGGCACTGTTTTTACATGGTTCTTTTCCACTGACTGGACATTGATCTCTTGCAGTATTTAATAGAATCATAGAATCATAGAATGGTTTGGGTTGGAAGGGACCTTAAAGATTATCTGGTTCCAACCCCCCTGCCATG